TTTTAATTTATCTATATAATCTAAAAAGACTTGAACCTTCTCGATAAAGAGAAAATTTCTATCCAAAAAAAATAAAACACCGCGAACCAAAATAACAGTGTTATAAATAGTTATTAAATTGTTCTGAACACCTCCAAAATCGGGAAATACATAGAATTAAGCTGCATTTTAAAGTCAATTTTATCTTTGTTTTTCGTATTTGCCAGGCGACTTTTTAGAGGAAAAATCTTTTATAAGATTGAAAACTCAAACTTTATAAACTAAAATCAATGAATTTAATCAAGAAGATCTGTGTCCGAATATAACGAACTTAAACCGCGTCTCAAATCCCCCAAAAACCGGTTTCAATTGAGCGCCGACTTAAATCTTGAAAAATTTAATACAAACTTAAGTGGAACCAACAAAATTTTAGTAGCGGCTTAAATTTAAACTTCGGCTCAAATTCTTTAAATTCGGCCTTTGTGTAGGGGGAATGAGGGAAATTAACAGCGGAAGAAGGGGCTATTTGATCAGCAAAGGTGTATATTCTTACCTTGAATTGATCCCTTCCCACCCCTGCTATAAACTTCTAGGCTAGATTGAGTTTAGAGGGGACAGAATATGTAAAAATCGATGGCAGGAGAAAAAAGGAAAACAAGAGAAGGCAAAATATTTGAAATTGCATAATTCTTTTAATTCCACAGCTACGCAATTTAGGTAAAATAAATAAGGAACCCTACAGTGAGAACCAAAAACTTGTGGATTGTGAAATAGGAAGGCGACTTTTATACTTTCATAGTCATATGAACATGAGACACAGCATTTGTGCAGTGTGAGCAGACGCCTTTCACTTAATAAATTATTTATTAAGTTACTTGTAAAACTATATGCTTTGTAACAACATCAAATACACTTCAGTCGTGCTTTAATGTCGTCTTTCTATTCCTCAGTTTAATGGTTCTCTTTGTATAATTGATGAACACTATGCTTGTTTACCTAGTACATTCTCCGGTTTGATGTCTGTGTGTATAATCTTACACTTAACATGAAGGTAGTGTAAACCCTCCAGAACCTGCTTCATCATTGTTTTCACGTTTTCTAAAGGCATTCCTTGGTAATTGTTTCTGATTATAAACTTGAGAAGATTATGTCCCAACACCTCAAACACCATGCAGACATGGGTTCCGTTCACGCCACTGATCTTAAAATCGTCCAGGAGCATCACGGTGCGCTCCCGCAGCTTGTCGTCGGGGTCAGAGTCGCGCACGCACTTTAAGAGCTTGATCTCGTCGAGTGCGGTTTCGGTGTAGTGCGCTGCGCTCTTGACAACCTTGAGGGCAACAAACTTTTTCTCCGTGAGGTCCCAGCATAACCAGACTGTGGAGAAGTGTCCCCAACCAAGCTTTCTAAACATTCAAGGATTACAGGGTTGGCAACGTGATAACCTTTAAATCGAGAATGGAAATTCTTTCAGCTTTTACATTTCTCCACTTAAAATCTGACATACTGAGGAAAAAATATGTTTCTTATACACTTCTTTCGGAGAAATTGATAATTTGTTGATTATTTAAAGCAACGTTTTTTTGTGAGGGGGATGGATTTAATAGGGGAGAAGTGCGCAAAGATTACAAATACCACTTGCCCCACCCCCCCTGTTTAAATCGCTGCAAATATCTCGCCTTGTAACATTATAATCCCCGAAATACAAGATATATCCGGTTATGAAGTTGTTTCCTTTTTTAATAAAATTCAACATTATAATCTTCACCAGTGTGTTAAATGTATAAACTTAAAAACCTGAATTTGATAAAATAGAGAAAAGATAAAACAGACCTCGCAAAAACTTAAATATCCATACTGACAAATAGTACATATCATGAATCTNCGTTACCATTTAAACGAATTCTCAAAATGAAGATATGAGCGGTTATTTTTCCTTAACGTTTCTTTTAATAGTTTTGAATAAGTGTTATTTTAATTCAGGTATTCACTCGTCTAGTCAGAGGAACTTTTTAGTCGCCAAGGGTTTTCCAAGTTGGGATGCTATATCGTTTGCACTAATGTCCGATTGAACTAACGTACTTTTACACTTAAGTCGCCTGATCAGTAACACTTGTGGCCGCAGCGTCCGGCCCCCTAGCCGCGGCGCTCGGCCCCCAAATTGTCTTAACTTAACCTAACATAACCTAACCTAAAAAAATAAGAGGTATTATTGAAATTGAAAGGAGGTCCCGGCCGCAGCGCTCGGGCCCCCTAGACTGTCCTAGCCGCAGTGCTCGGGCCAGAAATTGTCTTGATCTAACCTAACCCTCAAATAAACCGTTAGTCCGAATGAACGTTAAAGCGAATGTACGTTAATCCGATCAATCATTAGTGCAAATGATACGACACCCAAGTTGGTCAACAATTTAATAGTCCATTTAAACTGAAAGCCACAATTTTATTCCCGAAAATTTTACAGAGCGAAATATTATTTGACTTAACTATTTCCTAAATATCTTTAATTCCAGGGTTGTATATTTTAAAAATTTCCCCCATCCCCAGGAATAAGGTTTGATAATCTGGGAAAAAAATGGATCATCAGAAGGCAAGATTTTTCCTCAGCGAATCAAATCCTAAAATAATTATGCACCCCGTGAAAAATTAATTAAATTTAAGAGGAAAAAATTGTAGACATTTCAAACTGAAAGATCCATTAACAAAGGTTTGAAATTTCTTAGATTTAAACCATCAGGTTGGAAAGATATACGGATTAGAAACTTTGCGTTTGAGATGAGTGATCAGTTCCTGTATGAGCCAGACCGGAGGGAAATGTCACAAACCTGATGACGTGATATCGGTTGTGAAAGAGATCTCCGATCTTGACAGGGTGATATCCTCCTTTACAATAATCAGCTGGAGCCTCTTGTTCATCATCATCACTACCAAGTATCTCCTCCTCCTCTTCCTCCTCCTACACAATGGACAATTTAATAATACTAGGCTTTCAAGCGTCCATGTATGATTTTAACTTTGGATCCGATCGGTTCAGCCGTTTTTTCAAGCAAAGTATATATATTTATATATATACTAGGCTTTTTCGCGGATTTTTATAAAAAAAAATTTGTATAAAATATAGTTTTGAGGTCGAACTTTACCCCTATGAAAACATAGTGAGCTTTCCGTTTAGATGTTAACAAAACCATCAGAAAAAAAATCATTTTATTATCAGGTCTCTCTAAATTTAAATAGTAATCCCTGACTTATTGTAAACTTTCAAAACCTAGTCATATTTATCATATTGTAAATGTTTTAGTATTAATTAGGTGGGGTTAATACCCAAAACAGCAAATAGCTAATCTCCACCTAATTGTTATAATTACATAAATATAGCAATAAACTATATCTTATCTTATCTTATCTTGTCTTCTGAATTATAAAATTACTGTCTACGTTCATTATATACTAACAAAAAAGAAGCTTGCATATATCAAGATATAAGACGAAGATTAAAATCACTAATGGGTCCGTCCTAGTATACGATTTTGTACATGACCACTTACTTCTCCGCAAGAATTATTATTCTTTAATTTTTTATTATTTCAGGGTTAGATTATGACCATTTCTGGGCCGAGCGCTGCGGCTAGGACAGGCTAGGGAGGCGAGCGCTGCAGCGGGCTAGGACAGGCTAGGGGGCCAAGCGCCGCAGCTACGGGCCGGGCGCTGTGGCCACATAACAATTTATATCCATGTTTTACATATAAGATCCACGTACAAAATTGATAGGAGTGGGGAGGGGTCCAAAAGTCGTATGATGGGAAATTACCATATAAAAACTACTAATAAAGAAAGACGATTGCCACCGATTAAACGATATTATTTAATTATTTAAGGAAGATAAGATTGTAAATTTAATGAAAAATAGAATTTGTAAGTAGAATAAAATGTCTACCTCCTCGTAGCTTTTATTGTGCTGCTGTTGCTCCCTTGCCGCTCTGTCTCTGGTAACCACGCCCTCCGTAGTAGAAGTCCCGCCCCCTCCTTTCCTCTTCGGGTTCTTTCTCTTTTTCTTTGCTTGGATCGCGAGAACACGACGATTAGCTGCAACTTTACCGCTCATATTTCTGCTCCAAAACTATTCTGAAAAAAATCAAATATCTAAATTTTTAAACCCGGATCGTGGTAAAAAAAAAATTTTCGTGTCACATAACATATTAATGTGGTTTTGAATAAATAAATAAGGCCATGCCCATGGTGACTGAAGTACACAATGACTCACGTTTTATTTAGATAAACCAGCTTTTAACAAGCTCAAATCATTACGCAACAGATGTGTCTATCATAAAAACAACACAAGCGATTTCGTAAAAATAATTTGATAAAATCTAAGCTGTTCAGCGAGATTTTCCTGTAAATATGCAGCGTTTTCTTGAAAACATAGAACTTCTCGGAAATGAAATTTCTCAGAACTGAATTGTTTGCGGCATTTCTTCTCCGGTTTCCCTCTCATGCAAGAGTATGAAGGGATGTCGTCTTACATAAAAACCATACTACCACCAAAATGGATGGTGTATCATCTTTCGACCTACGCAAATCTGCTATACTCCACATCCGACCTACTCGCACGTGTTTTTACAGCTGCAAAATTGACTTGTGTCCTAGCTGTGGCGCTCGACCCCACTAAACTGTCCAAGCCGCAGCGCTCGGTCCAGACTGTCTTAACCTATCCCTTAAATAATACAAATATAAACATCTGGCGNGGCCCCCCCCTCGTACGCCCCTGAGTAGGGGAGATGTTGAGTGTAAACGATGTTTTATTACTCCAAAGAAGTGCATTCTCAACTGCAGACCGAAATGTAACGGACCTACCGAGTTTTCTAATTTTAGGCGTTTCTCCCATTATTTTAACAATGCGGAGTCGATTATGGTTAAGGTTTCGACAGCTGATAAAGCCCCGGAAGAAATTATGGTACTTCATGCATATGTCTTCCTTTAATACCTAAATCTAGAAAGAATCAAACCATATAGTGAATCTCCATTCCCCATCAATTAAGGATCATAGTATATCCATTCTGTCTCTATAGTCTCTATCTCCCACCTTCTATCTGTATTCTCTCCAATCAATTCTAACTCGACATTATAGACTGCATATAAGTATATAAATATATTCCGAGGAAAAGAATAGGCGTTTGGACTTAGTACCTGATTGCCCGTTTTCACCAGTGTGCGTAATATTTATGCACCCCGTGAA